GAGTGGTGCAGTGACTCAGCAATAAAAGCAGCACACTTTGCTGTTAGATTGATACCACGAAGTTTTAAACTGTGGAGATTGTCAGTAAAATTAATTCTGTGAATCGCGTTCTCAATCGAATTACCTTCCAAGGCATCTGTCACGCTCCCCCACACAGCAATATCTCGAGGAGCTGTTACTAAAGGCAACAAGTTCTTCAACAGAACAAAATCCTCAACTTTTTTCACCGATAAATCAACCTCTCTCACCAGTGACACACAATGTTGTTGCGTCTGGTCAGATCTGTTCTCAGTCAAAGAAAGCGCAATGTTGTTGTCTTCATTCTTTCCCAGATTATCCACAGGTGGCTGAGAAGGACAAACCGGCGCTGAGATCAATTCAGAAAGCAGGTTAAAGTGTAATACATGAATTGTTATGCAACGAAGATAGATAAAGTTTCTCTTTTCGCTTTTTTTGAGGAAAAAGTCCGCATGGCGTAAATCGGCGTATTTTTTTACATCTTCAATTTCTCCAGAGCACGTTAAAACGACCGCGTTCAAGTCAAACCATATGGATAGAAGATCATCATAATTAGTGTTCCAACGTGAGCAAAATAAATAGTTTGGAAAGCTGTCGGTGTTATTGAAGAAGTGCGTTTTGGCAGCAATAGACGAGTGTTTCTCATCAAGTATTACAACATGGTTAACACGTGAGAGAAATGCAGAATACACAGCTGGTCTGTTTGAGGCCGGACAACAGAACAAACAATCGACACAGAGTAGAATAAACTCGTATTGTTCACCTGACAAATCATGAACAGAAGGCGTCCTAGTGAAATTGTAATTTGTGAGACCTTCTTTCTCTCCGACATAACGTAGATGATCAAAAACAATGCCGACAGCATCTGATGACAACTCACAAACGAATTTCAGAACTTCAGCCATCTTTCTTGATTTTTTAAACGTATCCATTCCCGACAAGAAGGTGACGGTTTCATTCTTCTTAACCTTCAGTTCTTGAACGATGAACCAGGCGGCGAGAAACTCCTGAACGGACTTGTGAAGAAAATACACGATCTTCTCACGGTTCAAAGCAGAACGTTTGGAAACTTGGAAAAAACCGACATGAATAAGCTTCTCGAAGAGATCACCATGCGGAAATTTGGTGAAGTCAAAATGAAGGCAGTCCTCCAAAAGAGCATCAAAGGCAAGTTTTCCTATTTTGGAAAGTTCCTCTTGATATTTATATATGCTTTCATCTGTTGCGACATCGTCCGAGTCTTTAGTAGCCATATGATTCAAGAGAGTCTGAATAAATTCTACGTAAATTTGCGCACGAGATGTTGGTAATTGAGGTTTTTTCTTCTTCCACTGAAGACACAACATCAACAACAATAGCGGAATCTCTGCCATCTCCTCAAGGTCATGCTCCTCCAGGTATTCAAGTAGCCCTTTA